GAGGGGGGGAGGGGCATTGATCCGGATATGAGCCACTTAGGCGCAGGCGAGCCGGGAGGAATAGAGATCGCACTCGAGGGATAGCCTTCCCATGATAACCGCGGGGCAGTTTTTGAACGCGCGCGGGGCGGGGGCGGCAGCCTGGGCGCGACCGACAGAGAAGGCGAAGGGAAAGAGAGACAGAGAAAGCGATGACTTCCGCTACGGAGATCGGAGTGTGCCAAGCAAGCAGCCCAGCTCCCCGCTGACCGACGCCGATGGATCCTGTTCCCCACTCCCGGCCCGATGTGGTGCGGTGCGGCGACGGGCGACGCCTGCGCCAGGCCAGGGGGGTCCAGAAGGAATTCGCCTTCCTTCGTTGCGTCGTTCCCTCGTTGCGTTGTCTTACGCGTCGCGCGGCCGCCAGGCCCGCCTCCCGCACCTGCACACGCCAGGCCAGGCCAGGCCATCGGATCGCACCGGACAGTCCAGCGTGGAAAGAAAAAGATTTAGTCGTAAAAATTAAAAAGTATGGTAGTCGACATAGTCGCTGTGGTGACCATACCGTTTAGTTGACGCAGCCAAGCTAGGACGAGGTGGCCGCTGCAGGAGCAATCCGTTTGTTCTCAAGACGGAACAACCAATGAGTGTCGGGTCGGCTCCTGCAGCGACAGCTTCGTCCTAGCTCTGACAGTAACAGTTACCATGGAAAATTTCGACCGGCCATCTTCAAATTACCTCCAATATTAGCCCTGGCAACTAACTAATCATTTGTTTTCGTGAGCAGGAAAGGACCGAGTCAAAACACTCAAAACGATTACTTCCGTCCGCTTCCCGTGAGAAATGCACAGGGCCGCTGCACGTGTGCAAATGCTGCCGACATTTTCTACTTTTTCCTGTTTTAGGCGGGTCTATTTAGAGTCCTGCTCGCTCTCGTGGGCATTCCGGGCCGGTGATGGGTGGGGTGGGTGTGGCCCTCGCGCGTAGTGGTCTAGCTGCGGGCAGCAGGGCCCCGAGGCCTCGGCTGGGCGAAAAAACACCTGCTAGGCAAGAGCTGCTACCAAATAACGAATCAATCTGCATTCTGGGGGAGTTGGGCGATCCTGTTCGTCCACAGAGACAGTGACGCCCCCCTCCCCGCTGCGCCTAGTAAACCTGCCCGGCGCGGTCAACCAGGCGATTTTGTGTTTACGATCGCCGGCATATCTCGTAGAACCAAAAGCCAACGGGGGTCTCAGCACCCATCATCTACCTCAGCCCCAGGACGACCTCGACTGATAAGGCTTTGAGGGGCCAGGAGGCTAATAGCCCCCCGAAAGAGTCAATATCCATTCGACCCTACTCCCATATTAAAATTGTGAACTTTGATAAGTGGCATTCACAAGTTTTACGTTCATAATTGAAATTTATTAGTTGCAAGTACTAATGAAAA